CTTGCATTGCCTTCTGAAAGTTGTTAGATTTTTCTTGAAGAAAAATGTCTTTGTAGTTTTTGTGCCACTGTCTTCTGAGATGGTTCCCTCTCCCATCTTTCTGGTACAGTCTAGTCTAAAGCCTTGGCATTCCATGAGAATTTCTAACCCCAAACTAGTATGACAGTAATACACAAATATATTAAATTCATAAATAAAGACATAATGGGATAGCACACTATAAGCAACTACTGTATGTATTCTCTATTTTTTTCCTGAACAGTACATTCTGGTGATTGCATTTCAGTGGAAGCATGTGAATTATTTCAAGGTCCTAATGAAATATTAGGAGCACTGTGGTGGCTCAGTGATTAAAATGCTTATCAGCTGGAAAGCCAGCAGCCCAGGTTCAACACCCGAGCACCATGTGATTGGGTGAGCTCCTGGCCTGGCCTTAGTTCCTGCCAACCCAGCAGTTTGAAAGCAAGTCGATAAATAGGTATCACTTCAGTGGGAAGATAACAGCATGATGTCATGTGGGCCACATGACTGCAAAAATGTCTTCGTACAGTACTGCTCAATGGCCTTGAAACAGATATGAGCACTGCCTCTGATAGCCAGCAACATTTAGCAGAGTAAAGTCCACAGAGACTCCTTTATCTTTTTTTTCCCTAATGAAATATAACTATGTTATATGTAGGGAAATCTGAAATATAGGTCCTTCCCCTGATGGAAATTGCCTACTCATAGGGATTGATTTATGAGAAGGGCTGGAAGCAAAGAAAAGGATTACCCTAGAAAAGAAATTAAGCTTCCCATATAAAAAATATGAAAAGCAAAGGCCTCTTATGCATACTTATTTGACTTTTGACAGATGTTGTCACAACAAGAAATCTTTCAAAACAGGTTGTTTGGTATTCTGTGCTAACAGACCAGTTCTGACTTAATTTATGTGGGAGGCTTTGATTTAAAACTCTAACTGCAATGGTTGAATCCATCACCACAACCACAAATTCCTTCCCCTCACTTCCTCCTATTTCTCCTTTAATTTCCTTGATACTCTGCTTTTAGAAAAGCCAGATATGAATGTGAAAAGAGATGTACTATCTAAGGTCCCACAATTTTCTGTGAACCCTAATAGTCTTCAGTTAGAAGAATCCTGAACCTGTTACCAAATTGTTAATGTAACATAAGAGTAAGATATTAAATACATGACTTAATAAAATCAGATTTAGTTTTTGTGCAGTCATATCACTATATACAGTACACCATGGCTTCCAGCATTCTATTCAAAGACCTCATTTGTGCATATCTAATAAAGGTAAATAATTTGGGTGAGAATCTATGAGAAGCGATTATAGATTGAATTATCTCCTGCAGAGGCCATAAACTTTCACAAAGGATTTTGCTGGCCCAGTGGATGTTAACATTCAGCCTACATATTCATGGGCTCTGTATGTAATTGTTGAATTCTAAAAAACATCAGGAGCCTGATGTTTTTTTTATAATTCGACAATTTCATACCTATATTTCACAGAAATTCATATTACTTCACAGATTGAAACCAAATAGGCACAAAGAGAAGGGAAATGAGTCACATGTACTGACCATAGAGATATATAAAGAGAAAGGAAACAGAACTGTAAAATAGAGTGACAGGTAAAAAAAAGAAACAGTTAATTGATATTATGTTAATTTTGAAAGATAGGATTAAGTACAGCAGATAATTTAAATATTAATATTTTTATCAGATTTCATAATTAATTTTATAAAATAAATTTAAAAACTAATGCAAAATATTATTTCTCCTATAAGTTTATATTTAGATGTTAATTTATAAATCATACATCCAAGAACATTTTTCTATCTCCCTCATGTCACACGCACACATTTCAGAAATCTGTACACCTGGCCAATATAAGCATCATTTTATATTTTTTTCCATTTGCTCATTTCAATAAGCAGCATTTTAGATAATCATAAACATTATTTCTGAACAAAAATATACAGAAAGCCTATTCTATTATCAGTTATGTCAATTGTATATCATTTTAACATTAAATTAAAATTTTATGAAGACTTACCCAAAATAGAATGTAATGCTGAATGGATAAATCACAAACTGAATAATATTATATATTTGATCTATTTTTCATCCTTACTTGCAACCCATGTCTAAACAAAATCCAACTGAAAATAGCATTGGTTGAAATAAATTTATCCTGTTTGATCTGCTGAGACTTAATAATGCTTTTCTACCCTTCATTGAAGAAAACCTGGATATGTCTATGTCATGATGAATATATGTACTTGATAGTTTTCAGGAGATATAATAGGCTACACATCTTAGTCCTATAAAAGAAGGTTTCTTGAAATAGAAAATCTATCTAAATTATTCAGGTTCTTGAAATGTCTGTACAGATATTACACTTTGGAAACTACAAATATATTTAAGATATTAAACTTCAGTGATGACACTTCAGCTTTAGTGATAAAAAAAGATAGATAATTCAAATCTGTTCAATAATACAACCAAAGATAGATCAGGCTTAGTTTTCCAGCTTATTTTTCATAGGTTTTTATTATACCATATGCAACTCTACTGTACATGATTATGCATACACTCACAATGACATTTGTGAGGGAATATCAAGAAATAAAAACCAAAATAACAAAAATGTAACCCTGAATTTTGCTTGAAAAACTTTTTGGGGCAAAAGGTTTCATATGTATTTCTGTTACTGCAGTACTATAATACAAAAGTCATTTTTTCCTTTTGTTCTATAAATCATACAATACGTCCTCTTTATTTCTGTCCTTATTTGGCAACCATTCTCAGATATGTATATACTTTTTTTCTCTGACTTGAATTATAGTAAGTTCTATCTCCATTTATTATGAAGATTTGCATTTAATTTCTATCATAAATTTGCATGTAAATATAAATACATTAATCATCTTTTCCGTGCTGCTTTCTTTAAAGGTTAACTGGAAAGAAGAGAGTCTCAAATAATGACAGAATTTTTTTTACAGGAAGATCTGGCAGAGTATATTTACTTTTTAAATTTATTTCCTGCTTTTTTTCTAGAAGCTAGAGGAGGCTGACTGAATTTATATCTCACTCCAGTCAGGAACAGACTCTTGGTGGCTCATAATATGAAAAAAAAGTGCAAGTAATCCTCGACTTATAACAGTTCATTTGATGATGGTTCAAAGTTGACTTATGACCTAACTTACAAAAGTCACATCACTCCCATGGTCACATGACTGCAATCTGGGCACTTGGCAACCAGCTTACGTTTACAATGGTTGCAGTGTCTTGCAATTGTGATTTGCAATCTTCTCAGCTAGCTTCCGACTAGCAAAGTCAATTGGGGAAGTCAAATTTGCTTAATGACTGTGGTAAAAATGGTTGTAAAATCAGGTATGGTCATGTAATTGTGGTTGCAAGCTGAGGACTACATGTAACAAAAATCAGGAAAACCTCCCCCCCAGTTTAAAATAGTATCTGGAATCAACCTCTAAATGTCCTCTGGAAAAGGTCCATATTTAGGACTTCTGGAAGGCAACTGACATGGGCCCAATATAAATCCTACAGGACACTATTCCAGAGAGCCACAAAACAACTGTGCTTCCAGCTTTGACCTCTCTGACCTCCTGAAATTGGAGGACAACAACCTGCTGGTACAATCAGGTAGTTCTATTTCAGTGGAAAAATGTGGTCCTGCGGGTTATTTATTTATAAGATCCTCTTCACACCCCACCCCCAATAACCCACCAAAACTATTCCTGCAACATCCATCTTGGATGAGCTGAGAGGTAACGAGTCACTTGAAATCATGTAGTGAGCTTTTATGGTTGAAAGTAGATACTGCATATCCCTGGGTCTTCCTCTGTCCCTGACTTTCTAGTCTGAATTTAAGAACTAGCTAGTTCTCAGGTCAAAAACCAGTCAATCTGGCATCTGTCTAGACATAAAATAGGCATTTCATATTATACATTACCTATAACTTTTAAATAAAGATGCTAAGATTTGAATCTGGACTTATGAGCATGCAGGAACACACTCCACATCCAGTTATGGTTTCTTTCCTACACTTAATTTCATATGGCAAGTAAGATTATAAAGTTCTAGATCTAGTATTTGATCTATTGAGGCTATTTTCTCATAAAACCTTAAGTAATTGAATAGTCAAATGGTATTTGAGATAGCTATTTCACTATGTTCACAATCATACTAAACCATTGGTTTTTTTTTAAAAAAAAATGGGTTCTTAATCAGAATCTTGTAGATAAATAAAGAAGGGCTTTTTCTGAGTTTCTTTACTATCTTTTCGTTGTTCTTATATTGTACATATATGGATTACTTAGAGACGTGGATGAAGATCAAAGCAGATTAAGGTTGAAAAACTAACTTTTCCAGGGCAATGTGTCCTGAAGCCAATTCCTTTTCATCATAATGGAGTGGAAACACATTCCATCATAAAGCTGTGTTTACATATAAGCAATCATCTGAACAAATAGCATGTTGCTGCATGCACTGTTTTGTGCTCTATATTTGTCATGTGACCAATTATGCAAGGAAGGAAGGAAATGGCTTTTGTTGTGCCTAAATTCAAGATTATGACTTCCTGTATTCAAACAGGTCAACAAATGAAGTTCAGTTTTGAATTAGATATGGAGTGTAATAAATCATAGTTCTGGACATGGACTTAACATAAATCCAAGCAAAGAATGAAATAGGAGCATGGATTGCATGCAGTAGTATGTTGCACATCTACAATACAGTTTACTAAGTCAAAATTTCTGATTTACTACTTAGAAAGTTTAAAATTTCTTGCCGGTATAAGGATTTAATTGGGATGAAATAAACTTGACACTTTTAAAAATAATCTTCAACACTGCATTGTTAGAATAGGGGACAACTTTCTTCACATCCTGTGGCAGAAAGGTAAGAAGATCTTTTAACTCTCAATGTTTTAAGTTCATTTATTCAAGATGAAGTATAAAAAAATACTTACTGGATCTTTTTTGACCAGATCTCGATCAGGCACCACTGCAATGAGGTGGGCAAGTGTAAACACAGAGTTAAGAACATATGAACAAAAGAGATTCTTATGCAATGTTATCCTTTGACAGCTGAGGCTCCTGAAAAACATGCATCACAAATATAATATAAATTAGAAATTTAATATATTATTAAAGTTGATTCTGAGGTTGCATTAATAACAAGAACATGTTTAGCAATTCTTTCTTAAATATGCAATCTGACACAGGCAGTCAGAAAAAAATATGGCTGGCAATGAAGCCATGGGAAAAAAATTCCCTTACTCTTACACCTGCTTACATGCTCCATGCTTTTTCAATCATAGTTAGAGGACTTCTCATGTACATGGTCATGGCAGAAAAATTCACAATTACTTTGATAATAAGATATATATATTTAATGTATTTAATATATTTTATTTAATAAATAAATGCAAATACCCTGCATAGACATATTATTTGGAGCATTATATTAAAATTACAAAATACTTTAAGAATGAGTTATCAGCTGAGTAAGAAATTTTGATCTGGAATTTTTCTGATGTTAGGGATATTTAATTTCATTCCTTGCATGGTTTTGATTTCTTCTTGGTTCCCACAACTATAAGAGATTCTTCCTGCTTTATTACAGTCAACTGAATCAAGAAAATTACTGTGCCATTTTTCCCTAAATTATTCACAAATAAATATTTAGCTAACTCACTAACCCCACTGAACAACTTTGAAACAGTCAACAGTAGTCTGAATAGTAAAATAACTTTCCACTTTACTGGATAAAGGTTATATGACTATATATTGATTTTCATATGCCACTAAGTTGTTCATACACCTAACATGGCTAGTTCTTTCTAGATTTCTTTATAGTTAGATTAAATAATTGGGGCTCACCCAAAACTTGGAAACTATTCTTGCTTGCTAATAATAGAATAAAAAAATAGCAATCATCAGCTCTTCCCAAAATGTTATGTGAGGCCTTAATTTAATATTTGCCATATTTGATATGTCAAATCATTCTTTGTATTCTATTTTGGCACACACAACTCTTTAGTTACAGTGGAATACTTAGAGTCTGCTTAATGTCTTAAACAAGTGTATATAACTCCAAGAAGACATGGTACTTCTATTATAGAGAATTGACACATATAGCACATAGATAAAATCACTTGTAAGCCAATGTGGCCAGTAAGCAAACAACTGGACTATATGAATCAAAGAAATACTTCTATAACTCTTGCACACGCTACAATAAGAAAAAATAAACAGTGGAAGGATGTACTCACTTGAAATGGAAGAAAATTCCCAAGGAAATCAACAGGGAAACCATAGACAGTACATGTCCTACTATAGTCATGTAATAAACTATGAAAACCATCTGAAATTTAAAAGAAAAACTAAATAAAAAATGAAGAACAATGAGACATTTTAAAAATTATTGTGAAATATAAATAGTAGTAACAATGACCCCAGAACTTTGGCATATCTTTTACTTTATTTTAGATACATGGAACTACCTCTCAAAACGATTTAAATTGTATCCACGTTTACAAAGTACATGCTATAAATAGTATTATTTTAATGTATATATGCATAAGTATATTCCCATGCGTATATAATTAATGTCCCTTGTTCATTTGATTATCATATGTTGTCTTGGTCACATGGTCTGTTCTATTTGATTTCTTGATTTTATAATCTCTGTTCCTGGTGCTGCTATGAGCAACCCAAACATAGTCCACCTGTTGAAAACCATATCAAAGTAACTTGTGTTCTGCTGTACATTATTTCTCCTTTATTTTTTTTCTGCATTTAGGGTTAATTATGGCAAGATTTTCCCTCATGAACTATCCTCTTAATGGGTATTATGACAAGCTTCTGTAATTGGCCATATAAAAGTCAACTCCATAAAGATTTACATAAAACCTTGAGAATTATTTCTTATAACGAAAGGTCATAAAGCGTCCTCAGCATTTTACAGAGTATCTTATATTAGACTTTTCCCAGAATACTATGTAATAAGTAAGACATGGTCTAAATGTCTTAGATTTAGATTACTATGTAATAAGTAAGACATTCAGTCTGAATGTCACAGGGTTAGGCACAATATTTAAAAAATGGAAATTCAAATCACCTTAAAAAAAAGAAGGAATATAAAGAAAGTTGTAAAATATACCCATCATTTTTATAACATGCATAAACTTTATGCATGAAAATTTCATTGATCATTTAATCTCTTCATATTATATGTAGAAGGCTTTCAGATACCCCTTTCTAATTATAATGAAAGTCAGTCATAATTCTGATTGTACCCATCAGCTATGTAAAGGGAATGTGCTCAGAAATTTTCACTAGTCCTTAAAATCTCACACGGATTATAATGCCACCATTTTTGTCTTCATTAAAGTCAAGTCAATACATCTAACTTTAGTGATGAGCAGTGAAATTTGACATTTTATCAGTTTTTGAGGGGAGAGGAATACAGGTGAAAAGTCTGTTCATTTTTCTCTACTCAAATGGCAAAACTGCTTTCCTTGCTATTAGTGACAATAACGGAGGAAAGAATAAGAGGAAAAGATTGCCTTTGGAATCTACAGCTCATAATATGTGGACTCATTCAATTTTAAACAATAACCATCTAGGATACAGAACTATAGGCCTTGGTATTACATTAGGAGTTTTTGTATAAAACCTGTGAATTGGACATTGATTTCCTGTGGCATCACTGAACATGGCTGAAATAGACAAAAGGCATTGCATCTATCTATATTGCATCCCTGATTAATATATATATATATAATATATATAATTTAAACAACTTACCTTACGCTTTTCATTTGTAAAAGAATTGCACCGGGTGTAGTTGGACCAGGTTCGGTTGGTTTCAGGATGCCGAAACCACGTTCCTGTCTTATCACAATATTTTGTTGTTATTTCTGTGAATTAACAATTCAGTGGATGTAATTCATTTGAGAAACTTGTGTCTGTATATTAAAGCCTATTACATTTCATACATTAATCAACAGTGGCTGGAATGAAAGAAAAATCATTTATAATAACACTGAGACAAATTGTGATAATTTGCCATTTCATTTTGTAAAAATAGCAAATCATTAAAAAGAAAGTATCATTAACCACTTCCTGTAACATGTTTTGCTCACTGTAAGTCTCAGTGACAGAATCACTATAACCAAAATATATGAGGTAAATTATTTGTAGCTTACTTGTATTTAATGCATTAGAATGGATAGAATTTTTTACACTTTAATTCTTATTTCCTCTTAGCTGAATATTATTTTCTCACTTTAGTGGAGCCATACATCTTCAATTAAGGATGGTCCCATAGGCAGGTAAATTTTAAGAATTTCAGGAAGAATATTCTGCCTTAAATATGACCTGACCAAATAATTGTTTTATTTCTTTAACAATTCAAAATACCATCTGATTCTTAGCCTGAGTAGCTCACAATTTCTCACAATTACAAATGTTTGACTGATGGAGTAAAGCCACCATTGCTATATTTTTATATCTTTGCAACCACCTACTACAAGGTACTTAGTTTTATTAGGTACTGTTTATAGCCTTATGCACCATAGCTCTTTAAGGTAGACCAGACAAAAAACCAATGTCATTTAGAACTAGAACTACTACTCAGTTACTATATTGTACAACAAGTCTGAATATGCTTCTCCATCCCTCACTTATCTTTGTGTGAATTAGGGAGCTCTGAGACATTTACTCAAATTAGTTTCTTAGAATGAACTCAAGCCACACTTCTCTTATGTCTGAATTGTTAGCAGATCTTCCTTCTGTCTTTGAAAGCCATTCCCTATATTCTTTCCAGCTGCATACTTACACACTAGCCAGGCTTTTGCAACAACAAAGTTTTCCTCCTACTATATTAAATCCTAGTTTGATTAATTATATTCATAATAGCTAATATATTTGCTGAACATGATGAAATTTTATTGTCTCACAAATGGCTCCCGTATAACAAGTACACGGCAGTCAAGATTAATTACTATTGACTATTTAGACAGAAAATCCCATAAGCAGTTTTTCCCAAGAAGTAAAACTTCAACTACAACAAATTAGCAATTTAGCCACTATTTTTGGCATTCCATATCTGCTTGAGGCAGTTCATTCATTTCCTTAATTTTAGCATCAGACTACTTTTGCAAGCTAATATATATATTTTTAGAGTAAAAAGAAGGAGACTAAAATTCTTCTGAGGAATCTGAAATGCTTTCAAGAAATTGGGGATTACTACTGTCATATACTTGCTGCTGTGAATATAAGTTCTATTATCAGGATCCTTTATTGATTTACTGAAACTGTATTCTATTTTTCATTTTAATACACCAATAAATAGTTTTGCAGTTTTGTTTTAAAAATTTAATCATAACCATAAATATTCCTAAGAGAAAATGATCACAGGAGCATTGCCAAAAGCAACTTAACTGCTTATTCATTTAATTAAAACAGTGAACAAGGAATACAATCCTATTAGAAGTTCAGGGGTAGATCTTATTGAGTCCTTGATATTCTCTCAGGTTGGTTTTCTTCATACAAATGTTTTATTACCAGCCTGCAAGTGTTATGTTAAAGAATAACTTACAAACGGAAATTTCAATGTGATGGGAAACACCACAGAAAAGGACGTATTTATGAAAACCACTCAGCTAACTCTTCAGGTATCTTGAAACTATCTTCAATTGACAGTAAGTACATATTGGAGAACGTAGTCCTTCAAATACTCTATTGCTTTAGAACAACATGAGACCAAGTTTTTTGATGTTTTTAAATATATCTGATGTTTTTAAAGGTCTCTGTTGACCTTTTGCTAGGCCTATATGAAGGCAATAATAGATGTGGTATGAACAATAATGTCACCTTATAATGGACATGTAATATTTATCTCACAACAGCTTCAAATACTCATGATCCACTTCTCAAGGTGCTAATGTGATATTTAAAGGCCTACACAGTTGGGGATCGAACTGTATGATGAACTGCACTTTGCTATATATTTATTCCTGGGTTTTAAAATATTTGAGAGTTGTCCTTTTTACTCTGCATACACTGAAAATCAACAGAGGACCTTTGTGTGGTTAACATCAGCTTCTGGATTTGCTTATTCGATCTTTAATCAGTTCCTAACAATAAGCATTGAAGTTTTAATTCAGATAGGCCTTGTGTCCATCAACTGACTTGTAAAATCCATCACCATTGATTTTATATATTTTTCTTTGTTAATGTTTTTTCATTATATTTTATTGCAATTTATTATATATTCCAAATTATATTGGAATTTGATGACCATTTAAAAGAAAAGCAAAACATAAACCTATTTCTTCTGATTCTGTTCCTCCCATTATTAAAAAAAAAGCAGCAAAAGATTAACAGCTGAGGCAATAAGTTCATCTCTGCTAAGGAGCAGCACCTTTTGTCTGGAAATCCTTGGGATAAGCACTCTTTAAATCATTCAAAAGTATAGATTATCTAAAGCTGGGAAATGTCTCAAGTAGTGCTTAAAGCTGACTGTATACAATGTATCTCATTTTTATTGAGTGTTATTTCATTGATATCTATGAAACATTTATTTCTCCTTTTCAATTTCTCCACTTTGAAGGCAGAGAGGAAGAGGAAAATAAAGAAAATAGCTCCTTTAGTAGTTTTTGAGTCTAAATTCCAATATGTCTCTTTTATTAACAAGCTTGATTTACCAGCAGTCATCAAAGGACATTTTCCTTCTGCTCTATAAAGCTATAATAAGAAGATATTATATTAGCTGCTGGAACTTTACTTTCCTTAAGGTAGAAAATAGAAAATTTGTCACACTGTATTGTGCCTAAGGAACAAAGGAGATGAGGGTCTGTTGCTGTTTCAATTGTTGCTGCTTTTCCTTTATGGGAAAAGGGTTGGTGGATCTTGGACCAGGCAATATTAAAAGCTCAGGTAACTAATCTCTATGTGGTTGAATTTTTATATCCATTCATGAAACCCCAGACTGCTGCTTTGGGATGGGGAGTATCTAATTTAAGATACTGTAAATAATTTTTCCATCTCTTTTGTGGTAAATATCCTAACAGGATTCCCTGAACTGGCACCCAACAAATAGCACCTGATAAAAAAGCTACTATCAGGGTCAAAGTTAAGTTTGCCCAACATTCTATGTCACACAGCAGCCAATCAGAAGTCTTCATGGGAAGGCCACACACATGAACTGAGGTGACAACCTTTTTGTACTTTTTTACTGTAGCATTTAAAATAACTTTCATGTGGTCAAAATGGTTGTAGTCAGCCATCAAGATCTAGTAGCCTGATCTGTCATTAATTTTTCCAATCTGTTATAAAACTATCTAAATGGGTGCTTATGACTTCACCTAATGGAAACAAATCTCCAAATTTAAATATACATTGCACAAAGAAATACTTCCTTTTATTGACTCTATTTATCCTGTCAAGATAACAGCTTGGAAATTCTGGGATTCAGTCAGCTGACTATATCACTGGTTTCCATGCTCCTGCCATTCAGATGAAATCTTGATGGGTAGCTCCAGAAAATTTGCAATTTTATATAGCCTCAATTTTTGCTGTTTGTCATCTCTAATAAGAAAGCAGGAGTTAAATAAAACACATGACAGTTTTAAAAGTATACTGTAACTGACTAAAATGAAGGACTCCTTCTTATAGCCATGTTAGTATGAAATCTTGTGTCCATACTTGTCAGAAAAGGATGTCAACAGAAATTGTTCCACCTTAAAAACTCAGGCTGGGAAATGGATTTGATATGAATCACTAAAATATTCTTACAAGAGCTGGAATTTTATTTTATTTTTATACACATTATTTATTACCCATTGTGTAATAAATCAAATATCAAACTCCTTACAAAAACCCTAACTAATTAAAGGCAGCCCTTTCATCCTCAGCAACCAAATTCCACAGGGAATAATAATCCACTTTTTATAGTCCAAGAGGCTAAAGCCTTAGGTGTTTTGAGAGAATAGGAGCAGTCATTGAGGAGCACTTTATCTTTTTCCCCGCTCTCACTTCCACAAATAAGGAACAGACTCTAAACCAAACTAACCCTTTTGTCGCTAAAGTATGTTCTTATGCATCAACAATTTGTAACTACTGCTGACAGGACTTATAGGGAAATCTCTCCAGATAAAACGGAAGTTAATGTATAAGCATACAAATGAAGGAACTATGCTAATTGGAAAAGAAAAAGAAAAACACATGCAAAGAGGAAATAATGTGTATGGTAAAGCTGTAATGGCATACAGTTATGGATGATATTTTTTAGTATGTAAAAGAAATAGAAGAAAATTTTATTTAATCAAATTCTGGTCCTTAATGAATGTTGTTGTTCAGACACTAAGTCATATCCAACACTTTGAGATCCCATGGACCACAGCACTCCAGGCACCTTTGTCCTCCACTGTCTCCCTGAGTCTGCCCAAACTCAGGCTCCATGCATTGATGACACTATCTAACCATCTAATCCTGTGTGGTCCCCTTCTCCTGTTGCCTTTTATTGCCATCTGGAGCGAGTGGTGGAGGAATGATCCCGCAAATACTCCTGTAGGAACACCAGCTGATTGGATACAGAAGAGACGGGGTGGGAGAACACCACAACACACACGCACGCCTGCACACGGAGAGACATCTGCTGGGCGCAGACGATGGAGTGAATCTGGGAGCGATCCGGCAGTCACCCCAGCTGATCGAATGCGGAGGAGACAGTGGGACAGGAGACTGCTGTGTGCGCGTGCGCCCAAGCACAAAGGGAAACTGGAGTGAACGGAGCCGATAGGGATAAGCAAAAGAGGGCAAGAACAGCAGGTGGATAAACGGGAAAAATGGGGGGAGCAGCAATGGAAAGGCACCTATAATGCCGGACCCAGATGTGCGGCCCAGAATGATTGCC